GCCCTTGAAGCAAAAATTGTTGAACTTAAGAAGTCATTGGAGGAGAAAAAATTTACATTTGGCCTTTTGGAAACACAGATCAAGAAGCTTCATGTAACTTAAATGCTTTTTATATTTCAAATATCCTAGCTATTAGTTATTCTGTTTTAAGTCAACATGTTCCTAAGACTGCTTTGGATAGGGTGAGTGCCGATCTACCCATATATGTAACAAATGTATGGGCTGGGTATGGTGACTCACGACTGTAATCCCAACACTTTGGGAGGCCAAGGCTGGAGGATCACTTGAGGCCAAGTGTTTGAGACCAACTTGGGTAACATAGTGAGACCCTATCTCTAAAAAAAGAAAAACTTAACAAATTAGGCAGATGTGGTGGCATGGACCTGTAGTCCCAGCTGCTTAGGCTGATGTGGGAGAGTTGCTTGAGCCCAGGAGTTGTAGCTAACAATGAGCTATGATTGGGGTACTGCACTCCAGCCTGGGGAACAAAGCAAGACCCTGTTTCTATTAAAAAAGAAGCATGAAAAGATGTTCATATTTCTATACTGACTGCTAGAATGTGACGTTATCATTGATTAAGCATTTACCATATGCTAAATATTGTATTACATGCTTCTAGTATTTTATTTCATTTAATCCTTATAAATGTCTTGCAAGGAAGATATTATTGCCTGTTTTACAAATTAGCTTGTCCAGTGTTACACAGCTAGTACATGGAGAGCTAGGATTTGATCCCTGGTTCAAAATATTAAGAGTACCCTGTTTAGAACATTGATAAATTCTAGTTTTCTATTATGTATCTGTCATTACAAATAACTTGATTGCCCTTTAGCTCTGAAATGACATCTAAAAGAATCTGCTTTTTTATGAGTCAGCTATTGTGTTATTCGAATATTTACTTAGTTACTATATTTAAAATGACTCAATTCTGTTAAGGTGAGAATGTTCTTTATCTTTAGGAATTTTATTACTTTTATTTACTCCTTATTATTTGTTACTTTTATGCTTGTAATATAAAACCTATGTTAAGTTTGACTGGAGAATAAGAGAGCAAAAGTGAGAGTGTGGACCTGAATGGGTAAGAACTCCCCAGGGCTTAAAGGTTGTTATTTACCACAGGAAACACTAGTATGAGTGTCCTCTAGTGGTTTTAAGGAGAGCTGCCCTGAATTCCTGAAGGCTACAAAAGATGAAAGACAGCTGTTACTTTTTTTTCCTTTTTTTCTTTTAAGGTGACAAAATTTTGGTTTAGAATAGTTTGTCTTCTGTTGAAATGTTTTTTTAACTGTTACTTTAAGGGAAAAGAACACATGCTTTGGGATCAGATAGAACTGGTTTTGAATTTCAAGATTATATCACTACTGCCATTTTAACTTCTCTGAGCCTTAGTTTACTCATTTATTAAATGGAGAAAAGATTGATATTATTTTAGGGCATTTGGGAGAACTAGAAGCAATGTATATCTTAGCACAGTGCTTTTAGTAGGCACTCA